CTGGTGGGAGCTGGGACCCTAAGTAAATGTACAAACAATCTGATGCTAGGAGAATAGCAAGTAAATTAACTTGTCTACTCAGCCAGATCTACTGCTTGCTCTGAGTTAAGTGAGGTAAGTAAGATTCTGCAGGAAAGCCCAAAAATGATTTACACACCTACTCTGATCTGTTCACTTTAACTGTTGTATGTACTCTGTGGCAGTGTAGGTTTTCGGACCAACAGGCCACCATGGGTACCTCTCTTAAGTCTAATAAATCTATGTCTCTATCCACTGGACCTCCGGGTGATTTCTTTGGAATAGGTAAGCACTACATGAGTGCCTTCTCAGATTTGGGGCTCCTGCGTTACAGTCCCTTTGCCCACTCCCCTGGACGAAATTGGTTCTACTTTTAATCATGCTCACAAAAACTACACTTGTCTTTCCAAGCTCTTATTGCTGAGTATAGCTATATATTTATGGTGATCTTTGTAATAGCTGGTCTTTCTCACTAAACTGTAAGCTTGGTGAAGGTCTATGTCTGTCAATATATCTACTGTATCTACTATGGGCTCTCCACAGCATGGTACATGACACATAATAGGTACACAATAAATATTTTTTTGACTGAATGGCCTTAAAACTTTTGGCTCATTTTTTCTTAGAAATGCTGATTAAGAGACATGGCAAGAGCTTTAGTACGTAACATGCACTACTTTTTGAAAGGCAATTCAGAATGAAGACTGTTGTTGCCTTCTCTTTCAGTTCAGTTTACTGTTGAAGCTCAGGGACAGATCTGTGAATTCAAACATTCTGGCCTCCACTTTTTAAATCTTGATCTATTACCCGAAAGTGTAGGGGCCAAGGGAACACTTCCCCTTCAACCCCCTGAAGGGTCTCTGAAAAATCAACTAATAAACGGAGATTAATATGGAGAAAAGATGTAACAAATTTTATTATTTTAACGTACTGGAAGGAGAAATGCACTGGGGAATTCCAAGAGAGTAATTTCCCAACTTTCCCAGTGTAATACAGATGTTTATATACCCATCTTCATAGAAAAAGGGGAGATGTGGATGTAGGATTCTTAGGCAGAGAGTCTCAATGAGTCTGGGGAACATACAATGGCCTCAGACAAAGTCTATTTGGCCTGCAGAGCAGATGGACTGGTAAATGATTCTCTGTAAAATATTGGTAATGGGCCACAATAATCAACCACATTATATATTGACAAAATAAAATAAAATTAAAATAAATAAATAAATAAAGTACCAAATGGAACCAAAGTAGAATACAATGATCTGTGACAAAAGTTTGCTCAGGTGTGTTGACAGACTCTGGTCTTTCTTCCTGTCATATGAGTTAAGTTAATTAAAATTCGGGGAAAGGACCAGAGATAGTTGTTTTCTTCTTTGGAGAGCCCAGACTTTTGGCAGATAAGGGAACAGCTTCATCTTCATCCTGTGCTTTGGAGAGAGACAGAGGATTGAGAGATGGTGGTGGTGGTGTGTGGGGGGGGGGGGAGGTTCAAGGCTGCTTTATTCCAATATATCAAAGCACCACATTTTGGGATAACAGCTTTCTGCACCCCAAGAAAAGTATAATCATGTCAACAGAGGCTGACTGGCTTTCCTTTTACTAATTTCTTGCATTTTAATGGTACTCACCCTGACCTACCCTGCCTTCCTTACCTGTTTCTCAGCAATAAGAAAGATGTTGGCTCTGATAGAAATAAGATTTTTTTTCTTCATACCATCTCAAATCAATCAGTTCTTCTAATAAAAGTATGCATTAGAACTCGATGCTAGCACAGTTCCTGAATATTGTCTCATCTATTACAGACTTCTGATCAATTGAAAGCTACTGAACGCTGGGGGGGGGGGGAGGTTCAAGGCTGCTTTATTCCAATATATCAAAGCACCACATTTTGGGATAACAGCTTTCTGCACCCCAAGAAAAGTATAATCATGTCAACAGAGGCTGACTGGCTTTCCTTTTACTAATTTCTTGCATTTTAATGGTACTCACCCTGACCTACCCTGCCTTCCTTACCTGTTTCTCAGCAATAAGAAAGATGTTGGCTCTGATAGAAATAAGATTTTTTTTCTTCATACCATCTCAAATCAATCAGTTCTTCTAATAAAAGTATGCATTAGAACTCGATGCTAGCACAGTTCCTGAATATTGTCTCATCTATTACAGACTTCTGATCAATTGAAAGCTACTGAACGCTTACTATAGAAAAGCCACCAGGTTGGCTTGGAGACACTGTTTTAAGTTCTCTTTCAGGAGAAGGGGCAGATGGCTGTCCCCTCTCTTTTCCTCTCTCTTATTTCTAACCTGGTTTCTTACAACTCAGCAAGGAGCAAGTGAGACACCAGTTCTTAAAGAGGTGAAGGAGCCAAGCAGAAGCTAAGAGGCTTATTGTTTTTTCTTTAATTGGACATTCTAATTGTAACAAATAGCACAAAACTTCTTCCAAGCTCCAGGTGCTCCCAAGGCCCTTTCTCCTAGTTTAACTGCCATCTCCCTTTTATGTCCATGGATTGGGAACAGGGGGCATGCTTAGCTCTCTGCAGGCACCTGTATTGAAGTGCACCATCTGGCTGAAGTAACAGAGGCATTCAGACTTCACAGGGGCAGCAGCAGCTTAATATAGGCCATGTGGGACTATAGGAAGAACACAGGCCCATGAGTCAGGAGTCCTGGTTCTGTGTCAGCCAAACTGGGTGATCTAGGGTAAGTCCTTTGCCTCTCTTGGCCTCAGTTTCCTCATCTGTGAAACTAAGTTTTGATGAAGCTTGAAAGACAAGATATTTGCCAAATTACTGTGAAAATCAGACTGTAAACCCATTGACATATTTAATTTAAACAGATTCATAGACACATTCATACCCTTACCAGCCATGTAAACATAGCGTGAAGTAAGGATTCTTAGAGGAAGTGGATGGTGGAAAAAGAGAAAGACATTAGTTTTAAAACCTCAAAGGCCATTCCTAAGCTGTTTCCCACACATATCCATACACACCCTACACATCTCCCCAAACCACTAACTCACATTGTAAAGCACTTTATGTCTGACATAAATGTATACAACCAGGACCCCATTTTACTTTTGGTCTCCATACTTTTTTTCATATACATTCCCTTCATTAATCTGCAAGTAACTTGGTCCAAATTGAGCCAGGCTCTAGTTTTGTAACCTACTGTAAGCCTCAACAAAGCTTATCTGAGTCAGTTTTCTTCCTTGTAAAGGGGGATGAATGTACTTGCCCCCTTCAGAGTGTTTGTGAGGATGAAATGATAGCCTGTACACACAGCCCTCAGCACAGTAACCAGTACATGCCAGACACTTACACAGGCTTGTTCCTCCTCACTTCCTCTTATAGGACAGGGCTGGGGCCAGTTCTTGGCTCTGAACCCACAGGTATTGTAACCAACCAACTCAATGGTCTTTAAATGCCAGCTAGTGTCACAGGAAAATGTTAGGCTAGACACCAGAATTTCCCCATGAAAGTTATTATGTCTGGGATCCAAAGAAGAGAAGGGCTTCAATTCCTTCCCTGGAGAACTCTTAAAATCATCCAGAACAGCCTGAGATTCATGTTCCACAAACTTTTCTTGAGCTTCTACAAAATATCAACCCCTTTATTCAGCACCATCATGGGGATGTCACTGAGTCCTCACAACAAAGCTTTTGAGATGGGGCTCACCAGGTCCATTTTTCAGATGAGGAAACTGAAGCTCAGAGAAAGAAGGGGCAAACTCAGAACTCTGACTCACTTTTAGGTGGGAATTAGACAAGGTCTTTCTTTTGTTCAAAGACCAGCCCTCTTGGCCTGTCCATGCTCTCTAACTGCCTCTTACCTGCTCTCATGTCCTCTAATCATTCTCCACTTTGCTTCCAGAGTCACTTCCCTAAGTCATCCCTCCAACCTTATCGCTCCCATGCTTTAAAATATAAAATAATTCCACATTACTTGGCACACAGTAAGCACTTAATAAATGTGTATTGAATAAATATGTGCCTATAGGATTAAGTCCAAACTCTTTAGTCTGAATTGAAGATACTTCAGAATCTGGCTCCAATCTACTTTTTCTAGATACATCTCCCATTTCTCTTTCCCACCTCCACGCCTCGTATAACCCTATGCTCCAGACGCCCTGGACATCTTGTCTTTTCCTTTCTCTCTGCGTTGTATCCTCTCCTGGAAAACTCATTCTCCTCATTCTCAGTCACCTTTTGAGACCTATTTACATCTTCTCTGCTTAGGTTACACCTTATCTATTCCCATATTATGACACCACACTGTACTGTAATTACTGGGTTACTTTGTAGTCTGTCCAGCTCCTCAAAGATAAGGATTTGCTTTTAATTTTTATCTTTGCCTCACTCAGCGTCTCCCACAGTACTCAGTATTTCCTTCATTACCTTGCAAAGTCTGAGCTCAGTAACTGTTTATTGACTGGATGGGTAGCTGGAAGAAACGAGGTCCCGTCATACCGGTTTCCCTCAGCTTTTGCAGCCACCCCCTCCTCCCTTCTTCCTCTTCCCAACTCTGGGCCCATCCCCATTTGAATGCCAAAACTACTAGTTCTCAGGCAGCAGCTACAACACTTGACATCTCAGAAGCTAATTTCCCTTCAAGGTTTCTCTCCAGCCCCAAGGCGTGGCGTAATTAGTGACTCCTGGTAACCTTTTTGGGGCGGATAGGCGTGAGAGCCCCCGGAGGGGTGTGAATGGGTATGTCTTTCATCTCTCCAGTTGCCTTCTGTAGTATTTTTCCCCCTTTTTCCCCTGCACGCGGGCCAGACGAATATTCCCACTCCCTTGCACTCTTTACAAGCTTTGACATAATTACCTGTGACAAATTGATTTAAAGTGCAGCAGCAGGAAAAGAAACGGGCATGTCTCGCTTGGCCTTCTGGGAGTTGTAGTCCTGCAGCTCCCTGGGCTGCCTGGCTGGCCCTGGAGCTGAGGACTACAGCTCCCAAGCCTTCTCCAAGCCCTACAGCACAGGCTCAGAGCTCCAAGCACTGAGGAGGTGGCTACATTGTGTCTATTGTATCCCTTGGCTCGTGTATTTGTACATTTCTCGGGACGTGAAATTGACAGTGAAAAGCATGGCAGATGAGCAAGAAATCATGTGCAAACTGGAAAGCATTAAAGAAATCAGGTAAGTGACATACTGCTGCGTCCCCCGTTCCTCCGCCCCGAAAGCGCCCCTCCCCCCCCACCGCCCCATGCTTCGCTGCGGGAGAGAGCTGAGTTACCTATGGAAAGTCTCTATTGTTGGTTTACTTTCGGAGGGGAGCTGGAACGGGGCCTATTCACCACAGGCTACCAGATG